AAATCCACGCGGTGAAAACCACATGGAAAATGAATGGGAAAAGTAACTTTCAAGGTTTGGTCAAGACATCAACAAACTCAAACTTACACTATTTCTGCACATTTTCCAAGTCATCAACCCCTCTAGGAGAGGCAGATACTGCTTTGGACAACTTTAGGGGAAACTTTGCCTAACATATGAACACAGTTAACCAAAGAGAAGCTAAAAATAGTGATGATATTTGGTAAATTAATAATATGCCACCATTCAAATTGATGAAAACTAAAACAGCAGTAGGACTATCTTCAAATGCARCCAAACCAGATGGGGCCTGCCTGAAGATATTTAAATGTTTTGTTCTGGAAGGTGGAAGGGACAATGGAGATCAATCCAGTTCCAATCTCCTGCTGTGAGCAGGRACACCTTTCTTAGCCGATAAAAMCCAGAAATTCYTCCATCCTAAAYGYAAAATCAGGAATTTAAATCATCCACGTTTTACGCTATTTAAAGTAACAACAGTTACTGTCCCACTGGCAGCAAAAGAAATAAAAAATAAATCGTTAAGATACCAAATTACACTATCTAACTGCAACATTAYTTTCAACTTAGCATTTTCATGCTATAAAAAATTAATTAAACAACAACTAGCTACTTTGAGAATTTGAGAATTTTTTCTATTTGCTCCCTGTTCTCCTACAATGCAATTTTTGAACCTTTCTCTAAACTCACGAGAAGAAGGAGTAGGGAACCTCTAAGCTGCATTTAGCTGATCTTTCCACTGAACCTTCTGGAAACGGCAAAAACACCACGTTTCTCAATTCACAGCAACACCCCGAGACGGGAACTCTCMCATTTGTTACATTTCTGCAGACTCGATAAGCCAAAGCTTTCAAAAAATCGCCTTTAGCCCTTTTCTCGCCTGTTTAAGAGCACAACAAGCAGGCGGTTTTAAGCCGGGCTTAACGTTAACATGGCTCCCTTCCTTCCCAGCTGAAAAATGGCTTTGCTCCACCCTTGAGCACCGAGCCACGCTTGTGGCTCCGGCACAAGTTGTGCACAGGCCCCGGCACGGCGATAACTCCCTCATTAGGCGTTCGCCCGCTTTCGGAGCCGGCCATCAGATTAAAAAAGTTACCACACCGAGCTCTGCGAACCCCGAGTGTTGCAAAGTCCCAAAGATTAACGCTGCAAGGAGCCCGAGGAGGAGCCAGCGAGGCCCGCAAGGAGGAAAGGCCCGGCCTGGGAATTGCAACACGCGGGAGGGCGCCGGGGCAATGGGGGACTCACCGTGAGGGTGTCATCGATGTAGAGCGGGATYTGCCTCTTCTCGAAAGGGAACTCCTCCTCGCCGTCCCGGCACACCGCCACCAGCCGCGCCATCGCTGCTGCTGCTGCCGCTTCCTCCCCGCTCCAGCCTGCGGGCGGCCCCGGCCGGAGGTAAACACCCGCCGCGCTTCCCCGCCACACTTTCACCAGCAGCCGGCACCCAGCCTGCGCTCCCCATCGCCTGATTCACCACGGCCCGGCCCGGCCCGCCCACCCCGCCGGGAGGSACCGCGCGGGCCGGCAACGGGCCGGGAATGCGGCAGGACACGGGCGGTGGGGGGGATGGAGACCCCCGGCTGGGGGAGATGGAGCCCCGGGAGGGGGGGATGGAGACACCGGGGGAGCAGATGGAGACTTGGGAGGGGAGATGGAGCCCGCGGGGGGGGAAAATGGAGCCGCCACGGGGAGATGGAGCCGCCGCCCCCCGCCCGCCCGCCACCGGCCCGGCGCGGCCGCCGGGACCCGCCCAGCCCCCGGCGCGGCTCTGCGGCTCCTCCGCCGCCCCCGGCCGCCCTGCGCTGCTCCCCGCCGCCTCCCCGCGGGCTGCAGCCCGGCTGCCCCGGCAGACCCACCCCTTCCTCCCGCTCCTGCCCGGCCTCGCCCGGGTCTCCGTGCGGGGCTGCGATGGCGGGGAGCAGCCCGGCGCGGCGGGATGAACCCCGCGCTCCCGCTCCTCCACCTCACCCTCACCCCCCTCCCCGGCAGCGCTGCCCCGCGGCCCGGCGGGCCCTTACCGGCTGCTGGCGGCGCTGGGCGGCCCGGGCGCTGTGACAGCGGGCGGCACCGCGGGCTCCCGGAGCCGCCTCCTCCCTGCCCGCCCCGGGGCCGCCCCGCCCCGCTCTCGCGAGAGCCGCGGGCACCGCCCGGGCCCGCTCCGGGGCAGCGGCCGGGCCTCGAGGCCGCTGCGGGCGGGACGCGGTGCAGTGCCCGCGGGCGTCGGGAACGGCCCCTGGCGGTGTCAGGAACGGCCCCGGGCTGGCAGGAACGGCTCCGGGGCGGCGGTTGAGCCGGGGGCGGGTGCGGGCCCCGGGGCGCTGGGGGTTACAACGCGCCGCGGCCTCGAGCGGAGCCGGGCCGGGCGTTACCGCGGGCGCGAACGGCCCCGCCGGGAGCGGCGACTGATAAAAACGCGCTGAGCGCAACGATCCGAGGCACGTGGGCGGTATTTTGGGGTGTCCTGCGCGGGGATAAGCGTTGGACTCGGTGTCCTTGGGGCTCCCTGTGTTCTCCGCCCCAGCATCAGGCGCTGCCCTGGTCCCCAGCCAGGCCGGGCAGGATTGAACAACTCTGCTCGAAATCCTGTGGCTACCGAAATTAAGCAGCCAAAAAAAAAATAAAACAACAAAACCCCAAAGTCTTTCTTGAACTATTGAATTATGCCGCTGACCTGTTCATTCTTGTTGTGTATGGATATAGACATAAAGCCCTCACAAGAAAATGCTAGGGAGGTAATTATGGAGCAGGATTCTTTATTTTTTTTCTTGTGTCTGCATAAAAATGCTGCGTAGTGGAGGAGTTCATTTACTCGAGCTCCTCGTGCAGCAGYTCCAACGGGAACAACGTGTGGAGTCGTGAGGCTGCACGGTTTGCMGTTGGTGTTTTCACGGTTTTCTGCYGCAGAAAAGCAGGGATTTTTTTTTAATAARGGATAGTTTCTCACACCAGAGCACTCTGAACCACACATCTTTGCAGGGGCGTGTGTTCCTGTGTCGCTCTGCAGGCCCAGAGCATGGTTGGATCACATCAACAATCAGCAGTGCCCCAAATTTTGTATTCTCGGGGTGCATATGGATATTATATGGATATTTCATACCATTTTTATCCATGGATTTTTAATTTTTTTTTTAAGTTGGTTGTTATCTCCAACACAGTGGGAAGGCAGCCAGCCCCTTCCTGTGTTCATTTGCATGCCCCTCTTTGCCTGGAAGAAATACCTGTTCTCTGGGACAGTATGGTTTTGAAATATGATACTGCCTGGAATCTTCAGGGKAACATTTGACTTCAAAAGAGACACCAGTGCAGCTGGAAAGGGAGGCATGCTAGAGTTCATACTTGAAAATAATGAATTCGTTAAGAAGACACTGATGTTTAATAAAAGGTTAAGGTTAAATGTAATCAGTGCTACTCTCCCACCTTATTTTTTCTACCTTGCAGCTCTACAAAAGGGTCATTTGGTGGAGTTACAGCAGCAAAGGAAAAACAATTTGTATTTTCTTCTGCTTTACTCTTACTGAAGTTGGTGGCAGGCTACAGTTGAATCATCTTAGTCTTCCTACTTGAAACATCTTAAACTTTTACTCATTATGTAACAACTCAGTAAAAGTTCCTGATTTTTTAACACACACCTTTGATCTGCACAAAGAGTTCTTTGTCTAAACACAGCCCAGAGCGAAGTRAAATGCAGAGTTCCTGTTCCTTGCAGCCAACAGCTGTGGAGGTGTGTGTGGTGTCCTTTCACATCTTTTCAGACCCAAACAGAGCTGTTTGCTCATCCTGCCATCAAAGGACGCTCGTTTGCACCTCTGGGTTTGTCAGAGGCCTGGGCAATTGTCTGTGGCTGAATTCCTCACAATCTCAGCTGAACACTCAGCATTCATAACCACCAGTTGCTGCAGGGCAGAGCTCGCTGCATTTGTTATCGACAACAAGCAATGGGAATTAATTGTCTCTCGTTAATTCACTGGTGAACAACTCACAGAATCCCAGAATCATTTAGGTTGGAAAAGACCTCTGAGATCATCAAGTCGATCCTGTGACTGATCCACACTTTCAGCCCAGAGCACTGAGTGCCACCTCCAGTCATTCCTTGGATGCTTTCCAATGCCTGATCACACTTTCCATGGAGAAATTCCTCTTGGTGTCCATCCTAAATCTCTCCTGGTGCAGCTTGAGGCCATGTCCTCTCTTTCTGTCACTTTTTGCCTGTGAGAAGAAACAACACACACCTGGCTACAACCTCTAACTTGCTTCTTTAGGGCTTTAGAAGCAGAAAATCCTCAAGATGAGAAGCTGTGGCATTGGAGAGAGGGTTGTTCTGACTCCTGTGCACCACAATCCCCTCAGTTTGCTGCTGTTGTGGCAAGCACAGCCCTGGAACTGGAAGCACCAGCCCGTGTGGAGCTCTCAGACCTCCCACGTCCTCTGTGCTTCACCCAGTGCTGTTGGCACCTGGATGCCCTGTGCTTGTCCAGACACAGCCCTGCCTGTCACACCCAATTAATTCTGAATCACACCAATAGGCCTGTGCTCACAGGCAGAACTCACTGCAGGTCCGAGGCTTTAAATATTGCAAAAATAAATATCCATGAGTAATTTTGCATAAATGAGTAGTGCCAGTYGGCTCACGAGGAAGACCTTTCTTCCCTACGCAAGTCTAGGAAGTGTTTTAAAATAAAAACATCCACCAGTTTCCAGAAAACTCTGCTATGAAGTGAAAACTGTTTCTGAGAGGTTGTTACCCATTCTTGCATTTGTCCCCATGATAATACAGGCTGGTTTGCTTTAATTCTCAAGACTACCTGGCTTTAAGTTGGAAGCAAACAAGCATGAACTCAGCGTGGCCACAGCCTGCAATCCTCAGACTTCACCTTTCTGCTGCCCAGGGGCTTGGAGAACCTCATAAATTTATGACTCTGCCACAGCATGTCTGTCTTAAGGAATCTGATTTAGAGGCTTATTCTCCAAAGGTTTTATGATTCATCACTTGTGATAGACAAGGAGAGAAATATGAAATATGGTCCATGTGYACTGCTGTAACTCCACTGACATTAGACATCAATCATCAACTACCATTGGTATTCTACTCCTACAGTATTTATATCCCATTATTGAATTCCTCACAATCTCGAAGTATATTTCTCTTCCCAACAACTTTATGAGGTCAGGAAGAACTGTCACAAGTCAGGAAAGGGAACAAAGAAGGTGTTCTGCTCTGGGCTTGCAAGGAAGACTGAGAAACTGAGCAGCTCCCTTCTCTAGACACTGCCAGAACCCTGCACTGCACTTCTTTCCATCTACACCCTGAAGTGTTGCTCTTATTATCTGCACCAMAGCCTCCAACAACTGCTTTATGAATTCATCTGCAGTTTAGTCTATCCTTCAGAGCATCACATTTTATCTCAGGTCTTCATTTATATTCATCAGTGGGGATGGAAGTAAAATTTAGCTTTAATTCAAAGGCTAATTTAGGTTTCAGTGTATGATTAACATTCCACAATTACTACCATCAAAGTCAAGCATATGCATGAATCTCTGAAGGACTGGGGCCAAAATGTTTTAAAGTATCCACTTATTCAATACATTTTATATAAAGAATTATTCTTATCTATTATTTATGCAAGGGCCTTAACTAGGTAAATCTTGACACAGCTAGGCCTYTCTCTCCAGATAATTACTCATTTTCTTAATTTTCATCTGGTTTCTACTCTGTACCTCGTTATCTAATTCCTTGGGTAYGAATACAGTTCACTAACTGTAAATACAGCTGACTCTCAGCAGGAATATTCAGCAATCTCAAATACTAAGTTTTCAGGATAATGTGCAACAACTCCCAACAGGTAAGAGCATTGACTGTATAATTTGGTAAAACGAGCCATTAAAAACTAATCAACACTAAATAATAAAAAGCTCTACTAAATTATAAACTATTACAGCACATGAGGAAAAATACTGATTTTTCCACTAAATACCATCATTCAATTGCAGCAAACAAAGTCCCACTAGTCCACTCACCCTGAGTGGAATCACCAAAACTTTAATATTATATTTTTGGCGTGCAATATATACATAACTAAACAGTTAAAAAACATGTACAAGTGCAGTATGCATAATGTMAAGGCAGCCCTGCTGTGGATTGTATCTATCAGGATGTTCACAGCACCAGTCATAACATTTGCTAGCAAGAAAAACAGTAATTGATTTTTGTTAATAGCACTAATCAGGCATGGCTGTGACAGCTTGTCTTCCCTCCCCACGGGCACGGCCTCCATTCCGTGCTTTTTATTGGAATTTTGGGGCTGCACAATCCTCCAGCAGCAGGACACGCTGGAACCCTTCACCAGCAGCTTTGTGAACACCAAGGCGAGGTCAGTGAGCACAAAAAAGCTCAGCAGCAGCAGGCAGTGGGCGAGCACCCAGGTGCAGAAGGACAGGTTGGCCATGCGGCGCGACACGGGCTCCGTGCACGCCTGGCACAGCTGCAGGAGCACAAACARCACCAGAAYTGCCAGGATCAGCACCYTCARGGCTGCAGTCCAGCCCCTCACCGAGTCCCTGCGCTGCAGCAGCCACTGCCCCACCTGCACACTCGCCAGGTAGATGGCCAGGTATCCCACGAGGGAGAGCAGCCCTTCCCGGTTGGCGTCGAGGAAGCCGAGCCGGGAATCTCTGCCGTCACTCCCGTGCAGGATAAACATCTTCAGAGAGGTAGTGCTAAGGATGAGCTGGTAAAAAACAGCCAGAGCTAGAGCCACAAGCCAAGCCTTATGTTTGGGAAATATGGCTAAAAGCAGAGACGCTGCAAGTCTCACAAACGCCAAGGTAAAGAAAAAATTCCAGTGCACTCCGTACTCCGAGGTGTGCTCGTGGTATTCGATGGATTTAACGCTCAGCAGTCGCCCGACACCGAGGGAAATCAGTGGCCACACGGAAAACGCCTGCCTGGCCAGATGGGAAAATCTAGGTGGGGTCACAGCAGATTTCTGTCGAACCTCAGGGCAAACGAGAGCATTTCCAAAGATAAAAGCTCCAACCCCCAGATCCATAACTCCGGTGCCGTAGGTCTCGGCCTTGGCATATCGCCGGGGATACTGCGGGAAATCCACGGCTAAAATGCTGATGGATGTCAGCACATTGACATAAACACGGAACACAGTTATTGCTGGAATGTACTCAGGATCCAAGTATGTCTTCTGGAATTCTTTTACAACTTGCCCAAAGGGCACTCTGGCCTCCCGTTTTCTTTGGCTGTATATTTTGGAAAATATTCCGGCGCAAAAAGCAGCGAGGATWACTGGAATGAAAAAGATGATTGGAGACAAGATGGTGCAGGAGAACAGGAGAGGAGACACCAGCACCAGGAAGTCGAGCAGCAGGCTGTATTTCCTTGAGCTTACAGGTTTTCCATGGTGCAGGTAGTACAGGATCAGGAGAAGCCCTCTGCAGAGCAGGCACAGCGGAGCCAGGGATAAACCTACGGAAATTTCCAGCAAACTTGTTCCATTTAGGTTGCTGATAAAGGCTTCTTTCAGCTGTTTTTGGGACATTCTTCTTCCTTCCTCTGAAAACACAAAACGTGAACTTGAGGTAGTTTTGTAAAATGGTTCTCAGACCTCCCTAAAAAGAACTCGGTTCCTTAAAACATTGATTTCTGAAGTTACTGGGTTACTTTTCAATTTAAAGAACACAGAGCAGCACCGGAGCTGGCCTGGGAAGCCAAGGACAGGCACAGGCACTGGGAGGTGTGAGGAAGCTCCAGCATTTTACATCCTCCCATGTTCCAACAAGATGCTTCATATATTTCTAGGGAGGATCTCTAAACAGCAAATACTCCACTGAATATTCACATYGTGAATAATCTYACTGCTCTGTASAACACATTTTGCYRTATTCTCTAYGGTGTAAATGGCACAGTAAYGTAAAAACRTGGCCCTTAAGGAACTTTGTGTTGCCTGCTCAGCAAAACCACCAGCTGCAGCCCCCGAGTACCTTTTCAAGGCACCCCCGTGTAAAAACGCGTGAATTAAGCAGCCAGAAATAAGCCGGTTCTGCTCAGCCCCGGGGCGGAGCGGGAGCTTACCGGGAGCGGGGGATGGACGGCGGTGAGGGGAACAAACCCGGCCCGGCCCGGCGCCGCCTCTCCCGCCCTCACGGCCCCGGGTGGGCTCGGCTGGGGGTCAAACCGGGTTCGGTACAGCCGGGCTCGGAGCAGCCGGGCTTGATAGAGCCGGGCCCGATAGAGCCGGGCTCGACAGAACCGGGCTGCGGGTCAAGCCGGGCTCGAACAGCCGGGTTCGGAACAGCCGGGCTCGGTACAGCCGGGCTCAATAGAACCAGGCTCGGTAGAACCGGGATGCGGGTTATGCCGGCCCGCGGTCCAGCCGGGCCCGGTAAAGCCAGGCCGCGGTACAGCCGGGCTCGGTTCCGCCGGGCTGCGGGTGATGCCAGGCCGTGGTAAAGCCGAGCCCGGTAAAGCCAGGCTCGATAGAACCAGGCTCGACAGAACCGGGATGCGGGCGATGCCGGCCCGAGGTCCAGCTGGGTCCGGTAAAGCCAGGCTTGATAGAACCAGGCTCGATAGAGCCGGGCTGTGGGTGATGCCGGGCCGCGGTCCAGCTGGGCCCGGTAAAGCCAGGCTCGATAGAACCAGGCTCGGTTCCGCCGGACTGTAGGCGATGCCGGGCCGTAGTACAGCCGGGCCCGGTAAATGCAGGCCGCGTTCCCCGCCCGCGCTTTCGCCGCTTCCGCAGCGGCCTCGCCCCGCCCCGGCGCCGCCTCCTCAGCCCGCCCGCCCCGCTCCGCTCCCGCTGCCGCTCCCGGCCCCGCTCCGGCCCCGCTGCCGCCCGCGGTAAGTCCCGAGCCGGCCCTGCCCTCCCGTCCCGTCCTGCCCGGTCCGGCATCGCCGCCGCCGCCGGGCCCTGCCCGCCCCGAGCCCGGGAACGCGCGGCCCTCAGGGGACACCGCGCCCGGCGGCGGCGGCGACATTGGGGACCCGCCCGGGACAGGCTGCGGGAGCTGCCACGGCCGTGTGTCCCCCGTGTCCCCGCGTGTCCCCCATCTCCCCGTGTGTCCCCCGCGTGTCCCCGTGTGTCCCCCGTGTGTCCCCCGTGTGTCCCCGCGTGTCCCCCGTGAGTCCCGGGATCTGCGGGCACCGGGAAAGCGGGATGGATCGGAGAGGGGTTCGGGGATGGGAGCGTGCCC